AACAATATGCTACTGCTGAAACATGGAAGAATTGAAATCTTAGATCAAAACACTATGTATGGATGGTATGAACTGCCTAAACAAGAATTCTTGAATGGAGCTATCGTTAGTGATGCATTCAGTCTGGCCATCAACTGACTAGCAGGTCGACTATGACTAGTCTATGCTTGATAACAATGAATTATACAAATCTTTGGCATCTTATTTAACATTCACCGGCAAACAAATTTTTTGAAATTCAACCATCCTTAATGAACAAAACGAATTATGCCCAGAAAATTAAGGGCCCGTTTGGTGCGTCTTTCCATGCAGTCTTTYGGCTGTTTACAAGCCGGGCAGACCAATTTTCAGTCTATTCCTGTTTGGTTCGCGGAAGATCTAGCCACCAAAAGCCGGAGTGCCGAAAAGACGCGAGAAGCCCATTTTGGGACGACTTCGGGAAGCTCCAAATGAAGCTTTTCGCGTCTTTCGCGTTTTATTCTCGTGCAAAAAGACACGGAAAGATGCACAGAAAGACGTGTATCTGMCAAACTAGCTTTAGGCTGCTCAGATCTTCATGCAAAAGCTCAATGCGTCTTTTGACTGTCAGAGCTACCAGAAGATCTTCCCAAAAGACTTGCCAAATGGGCCCTAAATTTTCACTTTCTAATAGTTTTCCTACTTGACAGGAGAATTTTTCAATCATTATGAGAATAATCCCGTAAATTAAAGAAAGAAGTATGCAAGTCTCCCATTCGGGTTATATGTTGAACCCAAAAGAAAAAAACAAAAGCCTATGCTGTTTTCATGAGCAATGGGATGAATTATATTTCATGTTGTATTCTATACTTCATCATATTACCATATGTAGTAGGGCTATCTTTTTTCTTCTTCTTATTCTTTGGTCTTCTATCTTGTACTTACATCAGTTGTTCCAATTAATTTTTTAAAATCACTTTCAGTCCATTGGTCACAAACAGCAAAACTAATTTTTATGCATTATACTTCTGTACATACTCCAGCTTAACACAAGAAGATTGTATAGGCTCTTGATAATCTTGGTTGAGTATTTTATGAAATTCATGCTGAAAAGGTCTTGCAAGGATAGAAATAATTATGACCAAGTGTTTAAATGCTGGCAATTTATCAAAATTGCTTCAGACAGACATTTCTGAAATGTAAGTTTGACATCCTAATAATTGCTTGGATTATCAAATAATTGTTTGGTATCATTTAGGTAATTTGGGAGATCTTGGCCTTCTCATCCTTTTTCTGGTTGTGAAATGACTATATATTTCTTAATTATTGCAATCAATTACCAATATCTTTGAAATGCTCTAGTTTGTGGTAACGCTTTTGCATCTGAACTCAGGTTTTCTATTGCTAGCAAGGGTAATAGCTGTAACATTCTGTGTGACCCTAGCAGCATCAATGGCTGCACGGCATGGATCAACGTCCATGGCTGCATTCCAGGTCTGTCTGCAAATTTGGTTGGCAACATCTCTTGTTGCTGATGGATTAGCTGTTGCTGGACAGGTAAGAAATGCAGCTTATGCATTCAACACATCCTGTGCCTAACATATTAAGGATAGATCCATGGGGATAATTTACACTACAATCTTCTCATAAGTTTGACGATGGAATACTATTTTTCATAGTGCCAAAACATTCTTAAAAAAAATTAAAAAATAAATTATGGTTTTGGGTAAGAAGAAAATAACTGGACTTCAATAAATAAAAACGTTTCTGTGATAATGAGAATTTCTCACATGCCACTGTTCCACTAAAGAGGAAGTTTTCTGACACAATTATAAGAATAAATATTAGGTTTGCCTAAGTTTGTGAGTTGAGAGACTTATATTAGTTTCCAGTCCTTTCATATTTGTGCAATCCATGCTGCTTGTTACCAAAACTAGAATTTGAGGCACTTGAATATTCTATTTGGATGGTGGATTAAAGCTGTTTTGGCCCAAGATTTGCTGCTCATGGTTCAATATTTAGAGTATCTTCTTAGTCACTGTCCCAAGTTTCTGATTTGTCACACAGAATTTATCTAATCTTTTCTCTTGTGCTTTCCACCTGTCTCTTCACAAGTACTTGCATCCAGAAATTTCTAGCCTCAAGTTGCTTTTGGGTTCTTTTTTTATGTTGAACCTTTCTTAAATGTCATCAGTAGGGGTTTGATTAACAAATTTTTTTATCCTATTTTTTATGTGCTTATACTTRATAGTTTCAAAATTTAGTCTGAACTCTTTAGACATAATGTGGATTATAATGGTTTCAGATTCTTTCAGGCAATACTTGCAAGCGCATTTGCAAAACATGATTATGACAAGGCAATAGACACTGCTTCCCGTGTATTGCAGGTACCTCACTTTAAAACAAAAAGCATACACTATCTTTTCCTTTTTCTTTTCATATGTGCATGACATTGTGAAAGGATCTTTTTTGCAGTTAGGCTTGGTGTTAGGGTTGGTGCTTTCTGTAATCCTTGGATCTGGCTTGCATTTTGCATCTAGATTTTTTACAAAGGACGTCAATGTTCTTCACCTTATAAACATAGGCATCCCGGTATATCATGTCTACCAGAGGAGAAGATAACTACTAATTTCTTTTCATTGCCATGCAGTATAATGCTGGAACTGAAATCTCTCTTCTTTTGGCCATTAGTTTGTTGCAGCTACTCAACCTATCAATTCTCTAGCTTTTGTTTTTGATGGAGTGAACTTTGGAGCATCTGATTTTGCATATACTGCTTACTCCATGGTAAGTTCTGTAGTATCAACCATTCAAATGGAAGAATACTACAATGTCTAATTAGAAAAGAAAATTGGAAACCCATCTTTCATTAACCCCTTTTTGATAAAAACCATCCCTGTGCAAACTCTTTATTCAGATTCTTGTAGCCATTGTGAGCATCCTCTGCTTAATTTTTCTCTCCTCGGGCTATGGCTTCATCGGAATTTGGGTAGCTTTGACCATCTACATGAGTCTACGGGCATTTGCTGGCTTTGGGAGGTAATTCCTTTCATGGTGTAGAATCCATTTCTTGCCAATGAGGAGAAAATTAATCCTCACTTCATTGTGTTTCATGCTAAACATTGGAAAATATTCTGTTATCTGTAGATTTTTGTCTTTTTTTTTGTATTTTTAGTCATAGGATCTGTAATGAAATGGAAGTATTGTTCCGTCTCTTTTCCAGCTTGAAACTAATTTACCTGTTGGACTGGATGGATATGTCCTATCGTCAAATATCTTTTAGGTTACCAAAGGGATCTAATGTTGGGAAAGTGCTAAGAAGCCTGTTCCCAGAAAACTACTTAAAATTTATCTTTTTGGGACTCTGCAACTGCAAGGTTCAATGGGTCCTTGTGAGATCCCCATGCACTACTTATTGATGGAATTTCAGAATCTTAACTTATTCTAAACTTTCTGTCCCTTAATGCAGAATTGGAACTGCTACAGGACCTTGGAGGTTTCTCAGGAGCTAATTATTGCTCTGTATTGTTCATAGTTGGGATATGTGGGCCTCGATATCTTTTTTGATGGATTATCTAATATCTTCCCTATGGCTCTTCTTATATTTAATTTATTTTTGCCTTTCTTTCCAGAATCTTCTTGTATTGAATGTATTTCCATTGCCCTCCTTTTCAGAATGTTTTTTATGCATTGAATGACTCAAACATCCAGAAAACTACTACATTTGATGTACATGTACAGAAATAGAGATTGCTCATGCTAATAGATGCTTAGTTTATCGGATGCCAAATAGATTAATTTCCTTGAGTCCTTGTCCAAAAGAATAATCCCATTATCGGCATACGAGAAAGGCTCAGAGTATTGGAAAGGCATAAATATGCATAAATACAGATGAAAAATTAAGAGATCTTGGGACACAATTGGTTAGCATTGAAAACTGGAAGAATTAAAGCCCCGTTTGGTTTACAGGAATAGGGGTCTAGAATCAGAATTGGAATGGACTATTCTGATATCAACTGTTTAGTTGGACGGAATTGAAATACCATTCCTATTCCTTCTGGAATGGCTATTCCCTGCCCCTCCCTTGGGAATGAATTATCATTTCTGCTKATTCTAATTCCCTGAAGCAAACAGACTATGGGAATAGATCATTTTAATTCCAATTCCGACTGTGAACCAAATGGACCTTAAAATATATATATTAAAAAGTTAATATAATTTGTTTTAATATTTACTAATATATAAATTTTAATAATCAATTTTAGGAAGAAAAAGTTTATTTAAAAATAAAAATGAATATAATTATAACAAGCAAATAGAGTAGGCCAGTGGTGAATTTGTAATCTGGCCTTCCTGTTACCTATTTCTAGTTTTTATACCCAAAATCAAAATGATAGAATCAATGGCGTTCAAATTCGAATTGGATCCAATATTTGTTGCATACGAAGTGCAAGAATCGTTAAGGAAGATGAAGTTTCAGGCAAGTGTAGACTATTCTACTAAACAGTCTAACACCCAGTGKAGGCTCATCTCTTCTGGCTAATAGTAGAGGCGTGAATGCATGTTTGATAGCCGATCGGTGGCATCTTTTCCGTCCTTGAGTTTTGATGTGTTTGCAGATGCGCTGTGGATGATGCTATTGTGGGAATCATCATTGGAGYTACTACTTTTTCTAGTAATGATCTTGTTGCTGTTTCCGGTGACTTTGATACCATTACTCTAGTCCATCTGTAATGGGATTTATATTGGGTTAGGTTGGGTTGAATCAATATCCAGTTTATTGGCAAAAGATCTTTCTCTATATTTATGCTATTATTAAAAGTGTGAATGAGGTCAAGATTTTAGATTTTTTTTTACTAAAATAATCTTATTTTTTGAACTTGGTCTCCCCTTATTAGGGCAAAAAATATGATTTGAAGTAMTGCTTTTATTAAATTCATTATATTCTTTATCATTAAGTCCTATATTTAAGGTATTAACTCTCATTTTCTTTCATTAAACCTTATATTTTATTCATTAAATAAATGAGCTTTTTATGAATTTTTCTTGACTAAAACACCTCTATTTATGAATTTAGTCTCTCTTTAACTGTGGATAAAAATGTAATTTAAAGTACTATTAATTTCTACTTCATTAAATTCCCTATCATTAAGGTATTAACTCTCATTCTCTCTCCTTAGATATTTTATTTGAAGTATTTTTGCATCTCACCAATAAATCCTACAAATTAAATCTATATCCAATGTAAAACCTATGTTCAAAACTAACATGGAAAATAATTAAACAAATCACCCTTTTGTTTGATTGGCAAGTAAATAGTTCAACCATCCACATTAAATGAGTTAACCAACGTTCTCATAGTTAAATAATTAAAATTTAAAACTAAATACAASTATAAATATTACAAAAATTGTAAAAACTTTATGAAAAATTTGGGCACAACTTTAATATTATCTATTTATCATATCAAACAACAATAAGCATGCTAAATAAAAATATGTTTATTCAATGCAAATGAAATACAGGATTTAAAGTTTAACCCAATAACAAAATCATTTTCCTATTTAAGTGGAGGATCAATGRTTCAACCTTTTAGGTCAAATGGATCAACCTTTTAGAGACAAAAAATTATTAAAAATATAATAATTTTGTAAAAAAAAAAGCATTTTGGTGCATCTCTAATATTATGTATTCATCATATTAAAGAAAAATAAATGTGAGATAAGAGTTATTTTTATTAATGGTAGAAATCAAATTAAAAAGTAAACTAACATAAAAAAAGACTATTTTTGCATCTAATTGAAGGTTAATGGTCTATAAGGAGGCAAATTATGTGGGTTTAACTCGAGCTCAAATTGACCCAACTCGCAATTTTACACAAGCTACTTTTGATTTTCAGTCCTTGACTTGGGCCTAGACCTAATCTCCAAAGTTTGAGCTTTTTTATTTTTATTTTTTATTTTTTATTTTTTGTTCAGCCCAAGCCTARCCCTTAGGTAGCTAAAGTCAAGCCTAATTATATACATACAATCATAAATACATATATATAACATATTTGCATGCATGCATGTACATGTAATTATGCACATATATTTTATGTCAAATTTTGTCATGAGACTAATTATGAGAACAAGTCCAAGACTAACCCAAGTGTATCAAATTTCAATACAAGTTGGGCCCAAGTTGGACAAACCAGGTTTGACTTTGGTCTAAAGACTTGGGTCCAATGCATAGGGTGGGTTTGGGTTAAAATTAAATTCAGCCCAACCTACTCGACTTGCACCATAATGGTCCAATCATTTGAGTAAATGGATTAACCAATGATGCCATAATTAAATAATAAGAGTTTAAAAAATAGATAAAAACACAAAAAAATACAAAATACAAAATTCTTACACATCTCAGATATTATAAACTTATCATATCAAACAAACATAAGTGTGTTAAACAATAATTATTTTTAGAATTAATTATGAAAATGAAATAAAAAATAAAGTTGCCCAAAAATGATATTTTTTTCCAAGTAAAATAGGCTAGAACATGATGTCATAATTATATAATAAAATTTCAAAAAATAAATAAAAATAAAAATATAGGAAACACAAAAATTTGTCTATAAAATTTGTGCACATCTCTAATATTATATATTTATCATATTGAATAAAAAATAAATATGATAAATAAGAAACATTTTTATTAATAATGAAAATGAAATATAAAATCTAAATCCACTAGCATACTATGCTTTGATTGTTTATCCTTTTAAATGGTTCTAATAAGGATATTGAAATTATTATTGTTATCTGATGAAATTACCACATGCAATGCACACGCATATTTACTAGTAAGACTAGGGGTGTCAATGGACCAAGTTTGCGTTAGATGCAATCTAAATTAAAACCAATTTAAACAAGTTGAAGTTGGACGGTCTAATAAGACAATCTATTTCAAAATATTTATCAGATTGGATTGGACTGAAATTGATCCACCTGTAATTGACTCATATTGGACTAGACTGGGTTGGACCAATATCTGGTCCATTGATAGCCTTAATGAAAGACTACATAAGGTATCATGAAGTTTGGAGTGCTTATGAAGGAATGCTTTGGTTGGATAAATACCAAATGACAAATTGAAAATTTTGGAACAATTGAAGAGATTCTAAGACAAATTGAAGATAAACCAATGAGGTAGAAGGGTAAGAAACAACTACGGAAAACACTAAAAAATGGAGATTGTGGAGAGAATATGAAAAATTGCAATACTAAGAGAAAAGACACCTTTGGTGTCTAAAGTCCAGAAAAAACCGGCTGAAGGAAGGAGATCAAAATATGAAGTTTTTTCATCAAATCGAAAATTTCAATCCCTCCAATTTTTAAGGAGAATGGAAAACAATGAACTTGCAAGAAATAACCGAAGCCATTAGACAACACACATGTCAAATCAGCAATAACCAAGAAGATGCAGCCCTGGAGCTTCAGGATCTAATAACACACAAACTAATGGAAGAGGAGGCAAATGAGCTGTTAACCCCCACCCCCCAGAAAAGGAGATAGGCTTGATAGTAGCTTCCCTAAAAATTCACTCTGCCCTGAGGACCAAACCTGGTCTATATTCCTAAAGGAAAACATGAGAAAATTTGCCAATACAGACCCACAAGTGTTTATGTCATTTACAAAATAATTTCCAAATGTTTGGTGCTCAGAATGCAACAAAAATTAGAAAAAATGGTTGCACCAAATCAAGTTTTTATAAAGGGAAGACAAAGTATAGATTATATGATTATGGCCTAGGAAATTGCAAACAAAATGAAGAAGCAGAAAAGAGTAAAGGAATGGGTTTTTTTTTTTTTTTTTTTSAAGATTAATATGTCAAATGCTTATGATATAGGCTAATTAATTAGGGACTTTATTGTGGATATAATGAAAGAGATAGGATTTCTTGAGAAATGGTGCAAAATGGGGGATTTCTATATGCAGAAAACAAAATTCTCTATCAAAATAAATGAAACTATGAAGGAATTCTTTCCTTTTAGGCAGGGGTACGGCATTTATTTATCGTTGAGATGCAGACCTTATCTTGCCTCTTCAACAAAGTTGAAGACAACAATGAGATCCGAAGAATAAAAAAAAGTAGAAATGGCACCTCAATCACTCATATATTATTTTCAGAGTGTGAAGTGGTCTAGGGAGAAAATAAAAATTATAACAAATCAGGAGCTCAATTCAGTAGGGGCATACATAGAAGAAAGAAAAAACTCCTATTTAACATCCTCCGAATAAAAGAAATGAAATTTCAAGAAAAATATTTGGGGGCAAAGCTTTGTTTTTAGGGTAAAATAAACAGTTTTCATCAAGATACTACAGACAAAATGAATAATAATAAGCTAGCAGCCTAAAAAGCAAAGCTATTATTTCAAGCAGGAAGAACCACATTGGTTAAAGCTGCCCTACAAGCAATACCTACTTATGTTATGTCTTCCACTATTTTGGAAAAAAGAAACTCACTGAAATTGAGAAAATTCAGAAAAGATTTTGGTGGGAGGGGGTAAGTCAAATAGGTGTCTACACAATTTCGTGAAAACAAATTTGTAAACCCAAAAACGGGGGGATTGGGGTTCAGGAAAATAAATGAATTGCTATGTTTGGTTTGAAGKAAAAGGTAAGAAAACCTATAAGGTTTGTAAAAGTTTCCCTATCTTTCCTTTMCTTTCCCTATTTTTTCCTTCAAATCAAACATAATGTAAAGATCTCTTCTTCAAACAGGTTTGGAGACTCTTGACA